TTGTGTTTTCCATTGTGTTGGTGCTATAAAAATGCTAATTGTTCCCACGAAGATGTAGGGTCTTCATAAGTGCGTCTGTGATTGTTTTTCAGCCCTTCGAGATATAAGGAGGTGTTATTTCAGGTTGATAATTTGAATGTGTGATGGATACAACTTTGACAGTTTATTAGTTAGAAAAGAAAAAAAAAAAAGACAATGGTATGTCGCTCTTCAGCGAATTGATTGCCAGGAGCACGTTATTGACTTTGCTGATAATATCATTGTATATTTTACAGTCGTAAAATCAAGAAATTCAGATTATACCCTGAGGGCTTCACACATTTAAATAAAGGATATAGCCATTTCCAGGGCTATTGGTTTAGATTAGCGGGTGCTGTGGAGAATGCATAGTGTGTTCTAAGAGCAGGCAGAAAAAGCAAGTGTGCTTATTGCGGTGATGCTTTGGATTATTTTCTTTTTCTATTTATGAAATACACTCACTTACAGATCCCCTGGGAGAATGAACAGTGTTTGCTCTAAATGTTAACATATTAATACAACGTTAGCTTGGTGCTCTCTTAGGCTAAGAGCCGAAATCAAGCATAATCCTTGACTTGTACCGAGAGTGAGGATAAGTCGTCTTGAAACACTCACCAAAATACATGGTGCCTGGGAAGAAAATCATGGAATGGTTTGGCTTGGAAGGGACCTTTTAAACCTTGAGTGAGCTTCAGTTTGCAAAGTTAAGAGCGTTACGGGGAGCCAGATAACCTAATGCAAACACAAGTCTCCCTCTTGACATCAAAGACAAGGCTGAATGGCAGCTGGTGGGCAATGGCAGCATTGCAATGGCAATGCCTTGGGAGGAGCTTCCCAAGTGGCTCCACTGCTGGTGGGTATGGCCTGGGAAGCACCCCCCTCTAGCACTCAACTTGAGCTGCTCTAACCTGGATCTTCCACAATAGCTTATGTTCCTCTTGGACTGTTCACCAGTCGTATCCTAGGATTGAATGCACTCAAGGTACTTGGGTTGAGTACTTGGGGTTTTGGGTTTAGGTCTGTCTCTAGCTTACTAGAGGGAATCTTAGTTTAACTAAGGTGTATCGCCTCTAATAAAAGTGGTTGATTGTGTTAAAAATCTTGTTTATTATTTCTACAGTAGCTTTAGTGAGATGGATAAAACACCTTGATGCAGATCATGATGATAAGCTTCTCTCTACTTTAGATGCAAGCTCAGAAGCACATTGCATCACCCAGCTCTAGGGATTTATTGTTCTCTTAAAACGCTATGGAAGTCCAAGTGCAATGTCACAACTTAGCAGCAAAGGTCATGTTTTCTCCCTTACGCAGGAGCAGTAGCTCCAGCTGGAACACATATGGCTTAAAGGTGAATGGTGACATACATAGTAGTAGATAAAATAATTACTCTTACATTTACATTTTAAGGGCCTCTGAGGATTATAAATCTATATGCGGCAAACAAAACATTTCTTTGCCTGTGTCAACAGCGCACATTTTCTAATTAAAAGTGATCACCTTTCTAAATTGAATTTGTGTGACATCGTTACTGGGATTTTAGCTTTTGCATTTTTTTTCAGTTTGGGGCATGAGAATCAAATTGCTTTTAGTTTTGTTGATAATGTGGTTCCATTTTGGATTGTAAAGTGCTTGTGTCAAGTTGCAAGTGAAAACCAATTTATGAAAGCAGTTTAGAGAAAACCATTAGGAAATACCCATTGGTCTTGAAGTTAAAAATTAATACCAAAATTTAATTTGGGATCATTTTAGAATGACGTAGTAGTGCTGGTCCTCTGATGAGTAGCACTGGGCAGATCCCTACCTGCCTAGGGTATGGTGGACAACTGAGATGGGCATCAGCTTCTCACCTGGTGTGTTTTTTTCAACTGTGCTATTCTCTGTAGTCTAGAAATCCTAAAATGTGATCGCATTTAGGATCTAGAAAGACACGGTTGTCATTAAACACGTGCTTAGAATTTTGCCGTAGATTATGATCTAGTAATGATTTGAGATCTCAATCTTCAGTTTTCCATAAAATCATCTTAGTTGGTTGCCGAATGTCCCCCGTCCTGCCCTTGAGATGTTATTTGCAGTTCAGGGAAGGCAAGCTGAGAGTGAAAGCCCCAAGATGCGGCTTCTCGTTATTCAGATAAAACCGAGCTCCAGCAGTAAGTGCAGCCCCGTGTCCAGGATAATCCTCCTTCCCACTGGCTGAGACCGAGCGAGCACGGTGCCAAGGGTGGCTGGGGAGCCGAGTGCGATGGCAGATCTCCGCTGACAAAGGCAGGAGCTGTGAAGAAGAAAAGATTGACTCTGCTTGTTACGTGGGAAGAAAGAGACAGCACTTTCCTGAGTGGGTTTCTGGCACAGGCGCAGCTCTGGTTTAGGGGTTTGATGTTACCACTTACGCTCCTCCAAAGCTTAAGAATTACAGCCTCGTAATTCAGACATCTCTTATTTATGCAGTTTCAAACTCGAAAAGAACGTTGTTCAACTGTCATTAAAAAAACCCACTCTTTTGTTTTAATGATGTTTATGAGAGTCTGGATTATCTGCCTTAGAAGTGTCCAGTGTGCAAATGAAGTATCACCCCGCATAGATCTCGCGTCTCACGAGTGCTATAAAATCAACCAAACTGACTGTGTTTGTCATATGGTGATTTTCCAAGTAGGTAGTAAGATTTTCAGTGCTGGTTACAGCACCAAAATTTGGAAATAGAGTATGAGCAGAGATCGAGGGCGATATGGATATACGCTGAGAAATGGCAACTGCTGCAGATGGCTGATTTGTAATATAGGGCAGTGTGTGTGTGCGTTCTCTGTGCTTCTTCATGGGACATATGCTCCAGGGTTTTACGGATGAATTTGTAGTCTCTAGTAATTTGCAGTTTCCACCGCGGTTTAAAATATCTACATCATTTTTTCAGGTTGATGATTTTTCCCAGTCATTTATCCCAAAAGCACTTTATCCTACTTAATCTGGGTCATAATTGACGTGGGACTTGCGCGTACGCAAACATAGCCATAAGTTGTGTTTGAATGGGCTGTTAATGTCAGGGATTTGGTTACGTGCAGCAAAATAGACCGTGGGTTAAAATAAGTATAAATATTCAAATAACTGAGGAATGCAAGATCGCTATCATAACTGGGACCCAGGAAACAAACACTCTTGGAACACGTACATGCTTATGCTATTAGCTAACAGCTGCGACGAAGATGTAAGGTTGAAAATTGTTGGCAAGAAAGCTGTTGGAATTGGATTTTATTTACTGCGAATCAACAGGGTATCTTTGCAATTAGAAAAGACATATGGAAAAGTCCACTGTTATCGTTGTATTTAGTTGTTTCTCCAGATGTTCTCCCTCCTGCCCCACTCCGGAGCTGAAAGTGGAAAATGGTTTTTCATTGGTTTTAGCTCATGGTGCCAACATCTGCCTTGGCGTTTCCCTGGGGAATGATATTACCACTACTTCGAGTTTCTGATTTATCATTTGTGTCTGATTAGATTTTATTTTTGTAAAATAAAACCGATTGTAAGACCATGAAGTTTCAACCCTCTGTTTAATTCTTTTTGAGAGAGCAAGAGTGAAAACGAATCAAGGGAAACAGTTAGGTGGCCACTGAATTATCACAGCAACGCTCAATCAACTGCCTTATTTTTAAGGGGCTATAAATGTAGCATTAAAACATTTTTCTGAACTGATATTTTTCATTGAAAGAAATAGAATTTGCATACTTTTCAAATAGAAATGAACATTTTGAGAAAATTGGGGCCAAAATTCTCAAATGTAGGTGTCTAACACTGGGTTCTTAGCTATGGTTCATTTATAGCAGGCTCTAGCTCTGTGTTTGTTTTTTACAATAGCTAGAAGTATGGGGCGAAATCTGTGAGTAGAGCTCCTAGGTGGTAGTAGTAGAAACTTCAGCAATGTCAGTCCATGTTTAGACAAGTTTTCTGGTGGAATCTGTTTGGTCCCAGAAACTTCAACTTCTTTAAGATCTCACTTTTTTTGCTTGCTTCTTTGTGCTTTGGATGTCGTTTGGTTATTTGTTTGGTTGCAATTCTTTACAGTTCACTGCTGTTTTTTTGAGATCCTAGCAAGAAATTCCACAGACAGCTGCAAAATATATCTTTAATCAATTTTAGGAAGACCGATTCCCTAACTAACATATTTCTTCCAGCTGAGACACAGTATAAGCTCTTCTGCAGATCTCAGGGAAAAAGTCTTCCTGACAAAACTGTTCCTTTCATGGATTGCTGTAGTGTTATTGTCGTGTGGTTCAGGCTAGTCACAGTGTTGTAATTTATGTACATTGGCCTTATCAGTACTGTGCTATCTTATCCCCAACTGCTTTTTTATTAAGAAACATCTTGTGCCACTTTTTAAGCTTCTCAGGGTGAGCCTGTGAGAGCCAATGTTGCTGGTTATGTTTTTTTCTGTATATATATATATATATATATAAAAGCAGAAAGAATAGAGCAAGGAGACAGTGTATTTTGTGGAGGTTTTAGAGCAGCAATACTCTATAGGCAAATAACATCATTTGTTTTTTCATCATTCAAATGGTAATAGTGTAAATACTGCTGATACGGTTAGATAAGTCAGTATATGAGGAAATGGCAGCATGTTTCTATTAGAGTTTTGTCTGCAAAATGAAGAATTCTCAGGTGTATTGGAATTAGAACAACCCGTACAGATCAGAAGTTTTCAGATCCATGCGGTTTGATTCAGGCTTATCTCTTATTTCTGTAAACCTAATTTGCATGCAAATTTCATGCAGAAGGTTTTGTATGGTAACTATTCCACTGTGAATTCGTTTGAGGTAGTAAGGCCAAAAGGTTTTATTGAACTAGTTCTTTTCTTCTAATTGTATTCAAATGTTTGCATGTTTAGGTGTTGAGGTAGGAGTTAGATCTAATTTGCCACTTAATAGCAAGTATTTATTAATTTATTTTCCTTTGCACTCACGCAAAATTTCCTTGTTTCTCTTATGTCTTTTCAGGTCAGGATCGCAGTGAAGCCACTTTAATAAAGAGGTTTAAAGGTGACGGTGTCCGATACAAAGCAAAACTGATTGGGATAGATGAGGTTTCTGCCGCACGAGGAGACAAGTTATGCCAAGACTCCATGATGAAGCTCAAGGTTCAGTGGAACTTTTAATGTTTAATATTATGGAGTCGAGGGGAGCGAATTTCAGCTTGAACTTTTGCTCATTCTCCTTTCCTGACACTGAGTCACACTCTGGTTAATTATGTATTGAAATCAGTCAATTTTACATGAACTCCTGGCTGGTATTGCTTATCCCAGTTTAATTTTAATACATTATCTCTGAGTTCAGTAGTTATTCATGATTGACACCACTGCAATTTGTCCACAAATTATAAACAACACATCTGCAAATTGAATAATTTTATTATGCAAAAGGGGAGGTAAACCACTATGAAGAAAAATGGTATATCAGAACATTTAAATGGCAGGGCTAATCCACTACAGCCCTGCCTTTGACTGTTATCTCCTGTCGGGACAGGCAGGAAGGGGTGAGTGACAGTGTGGGGTGTAGGTAGCCAGGTATAGGGGGAACTGGTGTCTTCACTGATAGGAGAATGTCTTTCACCTGTAACGACAAGATTGATGGGTTACAAAATCAGGAGACAGTGCACTGAGAGGATGGAGCACAAGAACATAAAGAGGAGTCCCCAGAAATTTTGGGAAGAATCAGAGCAGTGACAAAGGCAGATTTTGAGTAAACTCAGAGAGTAGACAGACTCTGAAAGCATTAGTGGTGTAGGAGGGGGACATTCTGGAGTCTGATAGACATCCCTGGCTGAGTCTTTTCTTACAACACTCAAAAGAGCGTAACAACACTCTATAGGAAGCATCCTTTACCTCACCCTGGGACATGTAGAAGAGCTTGGGTCAGTGAGAAGGAAGGATTAGTTGTGTTTTCCTTGAGTATAGTGTTGGCTTTTCATTTGCATTGTAGGGTTACAAGCTAGGTCTAGTAGGTCTTCTGCATTTTTTTCCCATTTCTTTCCTTCCAGTCCTCTCCCCAGCACTCTGCTAAAAGAGCTGATGGATTTGCCATTACCAATTTTTTCAGGAGGAGAAATCACTAAATGGTGTCTTTTACACTACCAACTAGCAGGGGTCCAGTCCTCAGGAACCAGGAGGAATAAGTTATTCTCAAAGAAACAGCAAAGGGTGACATACATCATATGGTTCAACAATCTAAAAGAAAAATCTGTTAGATAATTTACAAATCCATTACAAACATTTTATGGCAAGTAAAAACTAATCTACTCTAAAAGGTGCACTGTTGATATGTCACATCTGCCACAATATTCCTGTTTTAATTGTATACTGGATGTTTCTCATCATTTCATTCTTCCTAGTATCAATTTGGGAGAGTTGGCACTGTTGTGCTGCACAAACTTTTTTGTCTCTCTCCTCTGTGGATTACCACTTCCACATCTCCCAGATGCCTGATAACTGTTTGCAGAGTGGTGAGATTGATCTAAACAGTGTTGTGAGATGACTAAAACTATTATGAGAAGAGAGCATTGGAAATTCATGTTTGTGTGTAAGGCAGCATAGCATGAAGTTGTGGCCTCTGGAAACCTTGTGTCTAACAGCATGAGTTTCAAGGCCGGGCATAAAGTTTTGGAGTGACTTTTGACAAATGACTTCATTTTTTTTCTTTAATTTTCGTGTCTGTGTAATGAGAACATCGACCTCATGAAGGTCTTAAAACATAAGTAAGTGGTTGTTAAAATACATTGAAACTACAGAGCACTAGATAAATGCTAAATATTTTCATTTATTTACTAGTGCAATGGATTACATTTGATCTTAGTTCAGTGTTATTGGTCACGGCAGGCTCCACGGAAGGTGGAAATAAAAGTTACTGTTATACTTAACACTGTGGGAGAATAACACGAGATGCATACCAGCAAGTTCACTTACAAAGCAAAAGCCTCATATCAGGAAAAAAACTAACCCTCAATACTGATTTTTTTTTATTTTTTTTACAGCAGAGGTGTAGCTTGATTTTGAGAATAATATTCTTCTATGAAAACCTCAATTTGCTTATTCCAGATAAGTGTACCCATGAAGTAAGCTAAAGTTGTTGGCGTCTTTTTCCTCCACTGCTTGTTGGGTTTTTTCCTTGGAGAAAAAAAAAAAAAAAAAGAAAACAAAACAGCTTATAGCTGGGAAAAGTGTGCTAGAAATGACCTTCAGCTTTCCTGAAAACAAATTTCATGGAGGATTAGCTAGCACAGGGGTTGGAAGTGGGAGCATATTCAAAATGCTCTCTGGGTAGCACTGAGAGATGTGGTACCTTGAAAAAAGGGAGGAAGCCAGAAGTAAGAGGCGGGCTGTTCCTGGACAGCCCTTAAGTTTTCCTAGAAAAGTGAGGAATTGTCCACAAGCAAATCTTTCTGCTCTGCTGTGGCACCTAGAAGAGTAACGAAACCAGCCAACCTGTTCTTTGTTTCAATAGGGAATTGTTGCTGCAGCTCGTTCGAAAGGAGAACATAAACAGAAAATCTTCTTGACAGTCTCCTTTGGGGGAATCAAAATCTTCGATGAAAAGACGGGGGTAAGTAAAAGAATCATGTGATGGGACAAAATTGAATCTTTTCATGGATGTTTCTTTAAAAGCATTTCCTGGCTGGGCAGTAATATCTCACCGGTGTCAGCACACATGAAGCATCTGACAAGCTTGATAAAGGGTTATCATGTATCAGAGCAAGCCATTAGATGACTGAGGTGCCAAGTGTAGCGTGGGGACGTGGTTTATTGTAAAGCCTTGGCCTGGATCCTTCTGCGGAACCACTTACGTGAGTGCACAGATGCTCCTTATGTACATAAACGCTCACAGCTCCGAGTCCAGAATGTGGTGAGAAAGGATTTGTTTTCCTTCTGCCAGATAAAAAATTGTTTCTTGGATACACCAGCCCACTGTTTGCAGAAGCTTTAGCAGTCTGTGGTACAGACCAGTGTCTGTGCCCGGATGGGCTTTCTCATCCAGCCTGAGCCTAGCTGCACTGGTCCTCTGGATGCTGCTTAAGATTCCTTGGCAGTACCAAGTGACTTTTGGAAGTCTAATGACAAGGGATTAGGATCAGAGGTTAAGATTGTCTTGGATTGGGCCCTTCGTGTCATGGGAAGCTGAAGGGAAGGAAACAAGCTGTTAACAGGGAGCTGTGGACAACTCCAGGAGAGTGAAGCTTGTTTTCCCCAAGCCTGAGATAGAGAAAAGGAAGGGCACTGGGAGCTGGGGAGCTCTTGGGAGCAAAACACACTTAGCTGGGATTGCCCTGAAGATGTCCTAGGGGAATCTTAAAGAATTTCTGTCGGGTCTGTAATTCCAGATCAGCACAATCGTTGTCACCGTAACTCCGTATAATCCTGTTAACAGCAGTGACTGTCTTCTGTCAGATGTGCAGTAACCATAAGGCTCAGAGCTTTTTTGTATCATCAATGGTAGAAAAAAGTGTGGATTGTATGGAATTGGAGGTAACAGATACTGGAAAGTTTGAGGTTGCCGAGCAGCAACTCATCCAGTAGCATCTTGTCGAGGAAGTTGCAGGAGACTTCCCTGCCTTATGCAGTTTTTGCCACAGCAAGATCATGTTTGATTTTTTAAATTGCTCTGAAAGAAGAAACCTAAGCAAAACATTACACTACTTAGATACAAAGCAACAACACACAAACTGTTTTAATCCTAATTAAGAAGATTTTTACAGCGGTTTAAGCTCTGCCTTGAATTTTAAAAAGCTCTTGATTTAATCTTTTGAAAGATTAACTATTTAACATGATGCCAGAAATAAAACCCTACTGATGATAGATGAAATTATCTTTGCCAGTTAATTTATATTATTAGAAAATCAATGTCATTGAGCTCACTGATACATAATACAAGTAGTTAGTAATGAAAAGCTCATTTGGAATGTGTTGTGTACAGCATGTGTAAAGTATTCATACAAAAGCAGTGTTTAAGAGAACATTGCTGAGGTTACAGCCTGTGTTCAGAAGATAGGAAATGTCAGGATTAGGGCTGCCAGTGCAGTCATGGTTGGGTCGTCTAATAAATAGACACTAGGGTAGCGTTTAACTACGCGATGGCGTACCTTTTTTCGGCCAGAGAATATCAGCTTCATTCAGCGTCCAGAGCAGAGTGTAATACATGGAACAATATGGTAATATTTTGTTTTCTTCAGTGTGCAGCCTACTGCCTTGCCACGCACTCTGCAAATTGCACTGAGGCCATGATTGCTTTCCTAAGGCTAAAGCCTTTTCTTGGCAAAATAAAAAAATAAGAGTGAAAGACTTGTCCTGTGACCCTTGTCTCTGAATGTTTCGCAAACATAGGATTTATTTTCATAAATAAAGATGGAAAAGGGGATGCATTTAGAAACAAAGGTGTGGTTTAGCCAAATTACCTTTCCTGCAGTGTCCTGCAGAGTCTCCTATCTGCAGCTAGTGAGGTGGCAACATGAGAACAAGTCTCCTTCATTTCATAACTTTGACGTCCTATGCTCTAAATCTGACATAACTGTATCATCTTTATAGTAACCCTGTCACTCACTCACTGAGGCTTAGACTGAAACCTTTAAATCCACCTTCCAGACATCTGCCTCTGAGCTGCCAGAGTGATGGACAGGAGTATTGAGTTGTCCCTCTTGAAACAGGGCTGTGACAGAGGGATGTGGGAAGCTTTTGACATCAGTTTTTGTGTCTTTTTTGGAAGCAGGAGAATTGTGCTTTCCATGCCAAGCTTTTGAAGCAGAGGTGCATGAACTCTTCTGCGAGTTCTTCACAGCCACCATCCCTTTGGCTTTTTCCCCAGCTTGGGTTTCTCTGTATCTCAAAATTTCATGTCTTTGACCCGCTTTTCTCATGTGTTTCTCATCCAGCCCATCTCTGTTTCGTCAGCCTACAGTTGCCATCTCATTCCCTTTCCTGCTGGTAGTCACATACAATCTCAGCATCTGAAATATACTGGGTAAGGTCATGGACAGACCCTGGCAGTGTCCCTGGGCCAGGAGCACTACTGAGGCAAGGTGCTTTCTGCAGCACAAGAGAATAACACTTAGGGGTGTCTCATCCGTACGGCTTTGACTGGTCCTGATGTAATGCTAAGAGATGTCAGCTGTTGTAGTAGTAAATAACACCATTCTGTAGTCTCATGTCAATGTCTGCGTGCTATAGTTACCCCCAAAGAAAGCTGCATTATTGCTGTAATGTGGAGCCTCCTATAAAGCAAAATAAGGATGATGCAATTAGGCAATGCAGGACACTGATAACCTCGTGTTTGATTTAGAAGCAATAGAGAAAATCCCACAAGCTGGTGAAACTGGAAATATGCTATTGCTCAGCCTGGCTCTTTTGATGGAACAGAAGGGAAAGGGACAGCAAAAAGTTTGTGATTTGCTCACACAGATCTTCTGATATCGATGTTAAGAGTTTATAAAGTTTGCAGACTGACATCCACATTCATGCACCTGAGGAAAAAAATATGCTCTTAATAGGGAACAGCCTGGGTAATGTTTCATTTCCTCTCTCCTCTTTTAACTTCCCTATCCCCTCCAATACTTTCATTGTATTTCTGTAATTTTGGGATTCCCAAAATTTGGGATTGGGCTCAGTGCTCATTTATTGTTTATTTGGAAAGGCTATTTTCCTCTCTAGAGTGTCCTTTTTTAATTTTTATAATTGGCTGCTGCTATCATGTGTGTCACAATGGCAGTCTGATGTAATAGAAAAGAGAAAAAATATTCTGGAAAAAATGTAGGCTTCTGTATTTTTAGTATCTTGTAGGCTACTATTGGATTTTAATTTATCACAATAAAAAATCAATTTGTAGCTCAAAACTAGTAAATTTTTTAAAATTGGCAGTGTCATAGCTGACTTCATACAGATGATTTAGGGGAATTGCTCCATAATTCATTACAGATGAAGGGCTGTAGCTGGGTTACTACTGAAAATGATAAGCAAGGTTTTTTCCCCGTGTACTTTATAGCTCTCTTTCATATGTTCCAGACCTAATATTCATCAAAAAATATTGATTTTAATAATGCTATTATTCCAGCCATCAGGAATTCTGCCCTTTAAGTAAATTTATCCATGAAGAAGGTTAGGTTGAAGGTGGAATATCATTTGGGAAGACTTTATCTCACCAAGAAAAATACAAGAAGGATTTGCTATGAGTTTGTGCTGTAGATGCGATACGATTTAGTTCATCTATAGCACTGCAATAGAGATAACAACACTCCTCTCATATTTCATCATCCTGTTCCATGGATTAACCTATATAGGTCCCTTTGTACCACTTTGCAAATACTTGTCAATATATTTAGAAGGTGATAGGAAGGGCCTTGCTTAACAGAGTTCACCTATGGCTTTGCCTATAGTATTATATAGACTCACTCATCTGCTGGAGGAGCCTGCTCCTTTAGGCAGAACACCACAAATGGTAATTATTCTGCTGTTAAAGTCCCAACATTATCTATGTGTTCTGAAGTTACATTTAGTTTTATGCCAAAAATTGTCATTACGCATGGGTTTTGACCCTCTATTTTTCTTATAAATACACCTTTTTTGTCTACTGGCAGGTCTTGGCCATCCATCCCACTTGCCTTCTCCAGAATATGGTTGCCAAATATATACCTCACCTGAAGGAAATGCAATTATTTTTTTAAATGTAAAAAATGTACCACAATTACTAAATCCAGGCTTTTTCTACCTAATGCCACTTCAGAGATTTCATGGCTGCATATTATATGAAAATAATTTTTGATCATCTGTTCTGTCATATTCCCCCTGCACCCTGGTGTCATCTCAAGACATAATCTTTCAAACATAGTACTGCACAAGCTGAAACGTATCCTTCGTTAGCAGACTTTCGTGAGAGTTCTTTTATATTTCCAGAAGCATGGTCTGTGAAAGGCAAAAATGCAAATAGCTGCATTGTGCTATTTAATATTCTCCTTTTCAGGGTGGAACTTAGTGGTTAACGTGCTCCTTAGAAAGCAGCAAAAACCATAACTCTCAATATAGCAGGATATGCAAAATTTTTAAAGGACCATCATTGTTCATTAGCTATTTATGAGTATTATTTTGTTAATCACACACATCAGGCTATCTCCCTGTGATAGCTTAGTAATGCTTCATTAGATGTGCATGACTAATATGGTCTCCATAAAGAGGCTGTAATTGTCTCATTGTTTATTTATGTAACAATAAATCTTCGTTTACTGTAGGTTACTTTCCAAAAATTTATTTAAAAATAATAATTAAATTCTATAAAATACTTGACAAAACATTTTCTTCTACATTCATGTAATGATATATACTTTTAAACTCTTGTTCTTTCTAGTTGCAAAATCCTGTTGACTTTAAAGGAAAACCCAGACACTGTGAAAGAGAAGTAAGATGAAAGTAAAAAATTACTATTGAGCTTTAAGTAAAGAATTATTTCTGTTAAAGTAAATTTTATATCAGCTCATGGATATGCAAATTGCCAGAAAATATTGCAATATATAGCTCTCTGTGAGCTGTTGTTATAGATTAATTATTTGTCTAGATTCCACAGTC